ACATACAATTGAACAATGTATGGCAGATTCATTTATAACGAGTTTTGAAAGCAAACGATAATCCTGATTGCCATGTGCGCTAGCAAGCGACCATAGTTGTCAGCAACCCAGTGGCCGAATTCCCAAGATCCCTCATACCAAATGGAAAGACAAACAAAATAACAAAGCAATTAAGAAACTGATCAACAAAGATGACTCTCATGATTTACTCCCAAAAATGAAATGGTATGTTGCGGCTGCTGTTTGAGGAGATTAATATATACTCCACTTCATATTCAGCTAGGGTTTCAGGTTGGTTGCCCACTACACCACAATTACACGTGTATATACTCTATTCATGTTTTTGGGATGTCTTCTTCTTCACACTAGTAGACTTTTCATCCCATTGTTTTGGATTCTTCACTTGCCTTATTGACCTGATTTAGTAAGATACATAACTCTAGAAAAACTACTAAATTAGGTATAGTCATTTTTGACATGATTTCATTCTGTGTGCATTAAAAGATCACAAGGGCTTGGATAAATAACATACATTATGATATAATAGAACATGAGTTATGTTTAAAATATGTACTTCGTAATTTCAAATCAATCATACTACGAAGGAAAAAAGTTTAAAGCTCCGCATATCTCATGTTATTTTATCAATACATGATTTTTTTAATAGACAAACGTGTTCTTTTGATACATAATCGAATGTGGCAGTATATACTCTAGTTCATAGAATCATAGTCCACACAAATTGGTCTACCCATTTATTTTGGTTTGATAAATTGGAATTGAATCCTCATTTCAATCCCACAAATAAAAGTAAGGGATTGATATATTGGACTTTAATCCTCATTTCAATCCCACAAATAAAAGTAAGGAACATGTTCATTTTTTAGAATAGTAATCGTTATCCAAACCCCTTATCCCTTTAAACAAAGTCGCTATTATGTCTTAAATTTTTGTGATAACAATAAGGGTTATAGGTTACATCGCTAATGAATTAATACTTAATACTGATTCAATATCCATCATCATGTAATATATACTTTGAAGTACATACATATAGCTTTTAAATATGTAAAAAAAAAAAAAATTATGTAACGAAAATTAAATTCCAAAATGGGCCCTCGGATAGCCTCATGTACACCATACGAAATTACGAAGTAATAAACCAACAATATTTTGAAATAAAGGCACAACCGCACAAGGCATTAGTCCTCTCAATTGAAATGGGTCCAATTGTTGTTAGTGCAATGCATGTGAAACTTTAGCCACATATTTCTCACCACACCACACAGCACATTGTGTAGTACTCTAGTAATGTGTGCCCCAAAGTGTCCACGAATCATGAGAGCATGACCCAAAAGGCCAAGGCTACTTTTGATTTTTGAAAGTTTAAATAAATTGTTAAGAATCAAATCCTACTACATATTTTTATTTAATTAATTTTTTTTTCGGGGGGAGGGGTTGTATTTTACTACCCCTAAGATAAAAATAAAAAAATATAATTTAGCAGCATTATTGATTTAGCCCATCACTTTACACGTGTCAATGTCGGACATAGAGTATAGCAATTAACAAGTGGTTGTATTATTGGCTTATGGCTAGCTTCACAGGTTGCTTTTTGCCAAGGGTTTAATCAAGAACGGCAGATATATTTTATAAAGTCAATCCAAATAAAAGAACTCATAAAATTGAGATCTAAATGATAGGAAACAAAAAAAATTACGTATCGCTTGGAGCAAATTTATCTCCAGCCACTGATCATGAATTCATGACACCTTAAGACTTAAATAATCAAAGTGTGATTATTTGATTAAAAATACAAATTTCTGTACAACAATCAGATTACATTTAACAATAATCTCATAATGAAAAATATCAATGAACATATAATCTCTTGGATTAGATCACACACGTTACATCTTACATGTCCTTATAATAAGAACATGACCTTATATGAGAACATAAATTTCACATATGCTTGAATCGTGTATTTCATGCTACAAATTTGAAGACATTGAATCAAATCATGCATTTTACACTGCATACACCAGCATATCATAAACTAAAGAGTGCATTTTGTACGATGGAATTGCAAGATCATGCACTAAATCGTGCATCTTGCAATATACTTTAAGAATATATTGCATCAAGTCATGCATTTTGCACCTTGTATCCCATCACTTAAAATAAAAAATAATAATAATATGTACCCTTGAGCCATCCAAAACTATATGGGAAAACCAGCTAACCTCCGAGTGAACCCATTAGGTTCTATTAGAAGCTATGATGTCCCATATATAAGATAGCTCAAAGTCAATTTCCCAAGACCCCCCATCCCAAGGAAAGTATGTAACATGATACTCAACAAATCAACCGTATAGTGTATACCCTTACCATCAGGCATCAGGCATCAAACCCAAAGCAGCCTACGAGTCTTCCAGCAAAAAATTTCCCCATAAAAGAGATGGTGTAATGAAAAGTAGAAGAGGAAGATAGAGAGAAAGAGGGTTGTGATTTGAATGGAGCTATGCAAATTGGAAGGATTGTACAAGGAAAGCTAAGTAATGGTTACTTTTATAATGGTCATGGCCCATGTTACAAGTTAGGAATATAATGAGGGAAGACCTCATAAGTCATAACAAATGGGCCATCCCAAGACTGTAACATTTAAGATGAGAGATAATTTCTCCTTTCTAGTTACAACCTTTCTACTTTTACAGTTGTTAATGTTTAGTTTTAACCATAATAATACTAAACATCAACAAGTTAAAAAAAAAATTGATATTTAAAAAGTACGGAGCATATTATAAAACACATCTAATTAGATTCCACATAATTATGTTGATTCTTAAGTATAAATCAACAAAAACGGTAACACATAACATGTGTCTACTAATAAAGATGCATGACAGGTGGGTTTCTTACCCTTATCTTTTACCTTTATATAAAGATTGTTGCCTCCAACCACAATTTAGGTTGTACAATGGCATCCAATGGAGTATTATTAGGGTTTAGGTTCCTTTTCTCTTTTTTTTTTTAGGCTTTGGAGGGGAGATGTATCCAGGCTTGTGCAACTTTACATTAGCAATGGAAATAATAATTTTTTAAGCCCATTTTAAAACTAACTATAACATGAAACCCAAGCATGCTAAGTTTGATAGACTTTGTTGCTTAATTATGTTTGGATAGAGAGATATGGAGGGAAAGGAAGAGAAGAGAATACTTCATAAGCGATGCATCATCCTTTATTTGGATATCTAATGCAAGGAAGGAAGAGGAGGAAAATGGAAGGTCACCTCCTCACTCCCTCACCTCCCTTTCCCTTCCCTACCTTCCCCTCCTTTTTCTCTTACAGTTTGTTTGGGTAATGTTAAGGGAAAGAAAAGAAAGGAAGGGAGGTGAAGGGGAGGGAAGGGAAAAGAAGGGGAAGGAAGAAGGATGAGTTTTCCTTTCATTTTCTTAGAATTTAGTCCGTCCATTTCTCTCCCTTTCAATTCCCTTCATCCCTAATTTATTATCCAAATGAAAGAAACTTCTTCCCTCCATTTCCCTTCCCTTCCCTTCCCTTCCTTTCCCTCTATTTCCTTCAATCCAAACACACTCCTAACTATGGGCGCTTGTTAGCTTTTTCCATATAACTATTTCCTCTATTTTCAAATAAGTTGCACCTTTTTTTTTTAGTTTTTAATCATCAACTAGTAAATTTTAACAAGATAATAATTTGAACTTAGACATAAAACTAATTCAACATTTTTATTGCATAATAGCATTTGTCTATGCAAATTAGTAAAAAGAAACAATCAAAATTAATACTTCCTCTGTTTCTTTATATTTGCAACACTTCCCTAAAATGGAAATGTTACAATAGTTGTAACACACTATAAAAGAAAAGTTTTTATGGTGAAAAGTGTACTATTACCTTTATTTAAATCTCATGACCCACTTGATTATACTCCTAACAACCTCTTAACCCCATTTTAAGTGTATTATATCATGTGAGGTCCACTTTTCTTATATACCGTAATAAAGTGTTTGTTGCAACTATAAAGAAACGGAGGAAGTATAAAATTAATGCAAAAAGTTAAAATGATCTAGTTATTTACAACTAATGGAGTTATAGAGGTAGTGTTAAAATGGTTGTGTGAAATTTCAACTCGTAGGTGATATCCTATGCCAACTATGTTTGGGTAAGAGAAAGAGAGGGGAAGGAAAAGGATGGAAGAGAAAGGGAAGGAAGTGAAGGGAGGGAAGGAGTGATTATTTTTTTACCTTTCAAGTTTCTTTAACAATAGAAAAATTTTGATTTATTAAAGGGTAGGGAGGGATTTGGTTTATAAAAGGAAAAGGAAAATCGATACCACCAATTCATTTCTCTTCTCTTGCCCTTTCCCTCCAAGTCTTCCTATCCAAACACATTATACACTCATACTTACCTTGCCCTTATCTCAGTCTGCCAATAAACTCTCCCCTAGTTTGCCAAATCTTATGGCTTCCTATCAAATATCAAAAGCGTTAAATGCACATTTCTATTGTTTAGATCATCTAAGGTATGATGCAGACTTTTTGATATGTCCACAGGCACAATTTATGTTCAGAAACTCATTGCGACAAAGAAGATAACCATATTAACACAGTACACAAAGATGATAAGATGTTCAACAGACACATCTTCTATTATCATTTGATCAGGGACTTTTCAAATAATCCAAAAACCAAACACAATGTCACAGCCCGACTCATCTGCAACTCATCAAGGCATTCATTCATTTCCACTTAAACTTCAGGTCAAACAACATAATCAAATTTCAAGCAAACTACCAAGATTCACATAGAAACACCAACAGTACTGATATACTAAGTAAAATTTGCAAGAAGATCACCATACCACATGGCCCTAAACAAAGATAACCCTAGCATTCATTCAATTTTAATCAATCAACAAAATAAATTTCAAACTAACAACCAAGATTCACAGACATAAAAAAAAAAAAAAAAAATAATAATAATAATAATAATAATAATAATAATAAAATAAAAAGTTTCATTACATCGTTAATTCATATCCAGTAGAAAGAAATCCATGCTACCCAACCCACCAAAACATCAATACAAATTCCTACTCGGTACCTTTTTGTTCAACTATGATAGCAATCAAAAAAAGAGAATAACATAAAAGAAAGTAGAACCTTCTAAAGTCCATCGACTTGAATGAAGCTCTGATGACTGATAAGACTGTCCAAAAACTCACCACACCTTTACATGTTTCTACACAAGTGATAGCAAATAATTCAAAACCCAAACACAGAATCACATCCAACTTCAAATATAACTCATCCTAGCATTCATTCATTCCAGCTTCCAAAATACTAGCAACATATTAATTACAAGAAAACCACCATTCGACATGACACTGTATACAGAATTCACCTACGATTCCATTTAACTCCAATCAAACAACAAAGCTTCAAACCAACCAACAAAATTCACATAAACATCAACAGCCGACACATACAAATCATCACCACCTACAAGAATACACCATTTCACAAAACACCACAAATTCAATTCAACCTACTTTCCATTCACAACAATCAAACATCCAATCAAACAACAAACTCAAATTTCCAGCATAACAACCAAAATTTCACACAGATAAACAATCATCATAATAACAACAAAACCACTTTGAAAACCGGTAGAAAACCAAGGCAATAGAATCTCTTAAGTAAGAACATGTTTGGTTTCATAACATATTATTTCAAATCCATTAGAACGAGTTCCACTCTACTAATCAAAACATCAATACAATTTTTCATCCTTTTGTTGTTCCAATTAAAGATAATAACAATCGACAAAAAAAACGTAAAATAAATCATGAAACAAAGAACCTTCAAGATTCAGTAGTCTTGATAATGAAGTTCTGACGACTGATAGGGTTCATCACCACCGGAGGTCCAGCAGTACGAGGCCATGCCTGCATTCTTTTATCAGTTTCCTGGAACCATTCTTTGTTTGATACAGTTGATGGAATAGTTCCTAAACATTCAAAATTCGAATTTTATGCAATTTTCTCTAGATCGAAAAATAGAATTAATTCAATAAAAACTGGAAAAAATTGTGAATTTTTGAAGAAATTTTACCTCCGAAAATCTTCTTGTCAGACATTATGTAATCGCAAGCATAAGCAATGAAAAAGGATCCAACGAGTGAGCCGACGATGTATTTACCCGCCATTGTTGACCTTCAAAGCTGGAAAAATGCATCGAAAATTAGAGAAATTAAATTTAAGATCGATCTGAAAAAAATTGTGAAGAAATTGAGAGGCGATTTAGCTCGAAATTAAACGCAGATTACGATTTCAATTTCAATCATCTAAAAAATCGAATTGAAAGGGAAACTGATGAATTTACAGGAGAGAGAAACATACCGAAGAGAGAGAAATAAGGTAGGGCAACTTTCTAGAGAGAGAGAGGGAGAAAGGGGGTTCTAGTACTACCGTGCGATGAACAAGAGCGCGATACTGGGCTTCTCTCTTTTCATGATAAAGGTCAATTTTGGGCTATAATGAATTAATGATAATGCAACGCCCCGGCAATTCCAAAAATGACATGAACCCGACCCAAAGTTGATGAGAGAAATTTAAATCAGACATTGACACGAACAAGAAACAACCCAAAATCAGACATGGAGTAGATTAATTTGTCATATTACGCAATTACTTGTGTATTACTTTTTACATGATTTTTTATGTATGGTGAACAACCTAAAATTGACATGAGAAGATACACAAACCCGACTTTTAACCTGTTATTTTAGCTTTAGAGCATTGTTTTTTACTTGTATTAAGATTGGTGTAATATTTGTCTAATTCGGAAAATATCTAATTATACATAGCAAAACTAAAAATTTTGGAAATAAAGAATACTGCTTGTATAAATCTTCATCTTAATTACCTTTACCATTGTACAAACACAAGGAATTTTTAAATCATCATAACCTAAATCGAAATATACTTATTTTGTTAGTAAAATCAATCAATTTGTATCATGTACTTCAAATAACAATAGTGTAGCTTATGTTATACGGAGTAGGAAGTATACAAAAGCCGTTTATATGCCAAATATTTGTGAGAGATGCAATAAATGGGAAAGAGAGAACTCCTTCAGTAGAGATCAATAGTTGCCAACAGTTTGTGACAGTAGGGTGAAGCTAGCAGCAATTTCTGTACATGCTTCAGTTAATTACTACAAGTGAAAAGAAGCCAAAGCAACCAGTTTCTACAGAACAGGGCTCTTAAAGATCTCACCTTAAATTTATAATTAACTGAGATCAGTAAGCCAATTGAAAAGTACATACACCTCTATACTACCACTATCTGCCAATATCAGTGCTCGTGGCTTTAAGAATACAGGTGTGAGGCAACATCGACATAAACTACGAGAGCTGCCTTGGTAACCTACATAACATCATCTTTAGAAAGTATACTAAGTACTGAGATTCCGCCTTGTTGCTTCCATTTTAATCAATAAATCCTTGATGTCAGTTTCCATCCTAGTTTTCATGTGGAAGTATTCACGATGACTTCTTTCCAGCATTTGCAGTTCTTCATGCTTCAGCCTGCGCCTCTCCTCTACCTCTGACAGGCGCAATTTTGCAATCCTGCTCGTATACTCTTCTTCCGCCTTTTCATTCTTGGCGATCGCTATGCGTTGAAGGCCTTCAGCCTCTGCACGAGCAGCATCAGCGCGTTTTTGGAATAATTGAGCTTCTGCCAGCTTAAGCTTGACAATATCTAGCTCATCTCCAGTCTTGGAGCTCATGCCCATCAGCATCTCAGTACTCCACGAACCACCACCAACTGATCTCCCCTCGATACTTGGAAGGGTATTTCCAATATTTTCCATTTGGGAGAATTCCTTAGCAGATGTGGATTTTGACCAAATAGGTTCATGACTGCGTACAGTAGCCCCATCTTGGACGTTTACTCTTTTATTCTCAAGGGGTTGAGGTTGGACTTGATCTCTTCCAGAAGATCCAACTGCATTGGCAAGCTTGGCATCACCCTCTGCAATACCGGACACACTCAAGTGTCAGGCCATCAGGGCAAAAGATGAACATTGCAAAAGTGACAACCAAAAAAGACAGACAAGCAAATGGAATATATTGCACTGCTTAGGCAATAGCCCAAATATATGACAGCAATCAAGTGTTTTGTATTATTCCCTTATTACATAAAATGAAGGTGCAGAAAAAAATACTATGCCTAATAAAAGAACAGGTGGTTCTGTGAACTGTGAAGTGGTATGACACAATGCCAACAAAAGTATTTTCATCTCATGGTTAAATTACTGACTACTGAGACAGAAATGATAGTAGTGAGACAGAAATGATAGTAGTGAGACAGAAATGATAGTAGTGAGACAGAAATGTGTTTCATCTGATTCATCACATTCTGCATTTTAAAGTTAAAATGATAACAGATTATTTCTTAACAGAAACAGTAGCAGTAACTACTACAGACAAAAAAAAAAAAAAAATTATTCACCCTCACCTATGATTAAAAAGCATATAGTATTAATTTTAAGAGGGCGATGGAAAGTTTTCAAAAACCTTTTCTGCTGCCCCCCACCCACCCCCACCCAAAAAAAAATGGAATTATTAGCATCAAAATTCAAGCAACAAGTAGACATGATGATTAATTTGCAAGCAATGAGTAGTTAAATATTCAGTGAACCACCAAAAATATGCTCCAAGATAATTATTGAGCTGGCTAAAAACACCCTCCTTATAGCCCAGAAGTTCTAATGACTGTATGTGCAGGTAGATGTCGCACTTTAACAAGCAACTAAGAAAAGTATATCAAACTGGATTTAGATATTATCTAGAAAAATTATGTGCCAAAGTACTTTTACCACAACAAGCAAGTGCAGATGTGAATTGCCAATCTGCAAACCTCAGCTAAGTCAGTCGACAATAACTATAAAGTGATAAAACAAGAGTAAAGGAAATAGCTCTGCTCAAAATTCTCAGTTTCTTCTATCTGCAGATCTAAAACAAGGCAAATACTTGGTCTATATGGAAGTTTGGAACACATTGTCTTCAGAAGTACCAATTCCTGCTGAAACATTGTTCAAACGGAGTTTTTTTAAAAAAAAAAAAACTGGAATAAGGTCAACAGACAAGAAAACTAGCGTCTCAACAGGAAACTCAATCCACATCAAAGAGACCTTGTGGACCGAGTTAAGTTAATTACAACAGATGAAATTTCATGACTGAGCCATGATGTTTACAACAACAATTACAGGATATCCTACTTTTCATCCATTCAAGTCCTTGTGAACTTAGCCTAAAGTAACTAGATAGAAGTAAATCACCTTAAGTTTCTTGTTTCTATTATTAGCACGAGAGCACATATATATAATGTATAAGCAGATAAATGCATCCTCAGAGTTTATGATGAGTAGAGAAACAAACTTTATAAGGAATCCAAGCAGCAAATAATTAATCCTAAAACAATGTTCTGCTGAGAGCAATTTTTTGTGTATGAGCTTACCATTTAGGAATGCCATTATTTGATTACAGATCTCCACAGTTTTGGCCCCACTTTGCAACCTACCAATCAGCTGCTTAGCAGCATCATGCAATACTTTTCCTCTGTAATCATTGCTGGCACTGAATATCCTCCTCACATACTCAAGTTCCCTGAGAAATGTCTCAGCTTTCCATTCGGTAGCACATGTTTTGAAAACATCCTTCACGAAGCCAAACATTTCAGATGGATGATCACAGGCAAGACAGTAAAATTGCATTTCAGATACCCCCTGAGCCCCAGCCGTACTTCGACCATTTCTAATATAAGATTTCAGCAAACCACAATCAGTATGGCACCAATGGTTGCAAACATCACACCCAACCCAACCACATGTGTTGGAGGCAGTATCAAACTTGGAACAAACAAGACACATACAAGAGCTGCAATAACCATCTTTCTTGGAGCAAAATTTACAATCACACTCATCCACAGGCAATGCACTTCGGCAATTAACATTTCTACACTTCAGACTCAGAAATATCTCTGCCAGATCACTAGAAGAAATACTGTCAGCTCGCTGGATATAATCTGTAAGACCAGTCTTGAGAGCCACCAAACTCTGCAACTGAACACGATGAGACTTTAACAGAGTCTCCAAATTAAGATCAGACCTTTTCCGCAGCACATCCTGAAGGCCACGTAGCTTTCTATGATTGTCTTCTTTCAAAATAACTTCACATACACTGTCCTTCAAGAAAGCAACTGCACGCTCCGGCATTTCATTAAGCCTCCGAGCCATGATTTGGATGTGTTCTGAAGCAATTAAATAAATTAGCCGCTCCACAAGATCTCTTTCTCCAGCAAGTCCCTGTTCCATCTCTCTTTGACTGCTGCTCCTGAAGAGCCTGCTTACACTTTCTTCCCCAGTCACCCGCCTCTCACTTTTCCCAAATTCTGATCTATTATCATGAGATCCAGCACTCTGAGCAGGAGACCTAAAATCGTCTTGATATCGAATCTTTCCAGAGGGTTGTTTCTGAAGACTACCAGAACGATCCACTCCAACAGGCACTGCTTGTTGTTGTATAGCTCGACCATTTAAAATGCCTTGGGATGACTGCGTAAAATGTAGAGACCCGTTAACATGACCATTTGAAACTGATTTTGAATTTGCAAGTATTTCCTTAGGCAGAGAATCATTAGCACTCAATGCCTGCCAATTAACACCTTGAAATAAAGGACGACTTTTGACAGATTGCTCAAAGTCATGATCAACTGAGTTATGAGTCAGTGAACAACTCGGATTATGAATGAACTGTGACCCAGAGAATGAAATTGATGTCGTGAAACAATCTGAACCAGTTCTGAGAGTGGTGCCAAATGACTGAACACTCCTTGCACGCAGAGGGGAGCTTGGGGGTGCAGCAGCACTGTGGGAAGCAGCAGGAACTGAAACATTAGGCAGGCCAAGTGAGAGATCTAGAGGTTCCAACTTTAGCTTATCAGCTTCAGATTTAGATCCACTACTGTTGGCACACATCACTTTGACTCCAGCAGAGCTAGAAAAGAGCTCAAAGCCTCTCACACTGGGGCCTTCCATGGCATCATCTTGGCAAGCAATGAAATTCCTTTCGACCAGCAAACTATTTTCTCTAAGACTATCCTCACAAGAAGAGCTTACAGCCACACCTTTCCCTTTGTCTTTCAGGACAGGGACAGATGGTTTGGGCTCTTTAGGAACTTCTACAATCGCTTTATTTGACTCACCCAAACCAAATTCGAGGTCAAAATTATTTTTCGAATTCTTATTCACTGGTGATGGCTTTTCCACACTTCTAGGATTATGCTCTTCCACTTTCACCTGACTATCAAGGCTGATGTTTCCAGGGGCAGACAACCCAAATTGATTCTCTCTCAATCTTTCATCATTAGCAAGAGCATTTTCAACAATACCTGTACACACCGAAGGTTTAGTTTCTTCAGAAACGGAAACCTTATTCACATAATCATTTTGGATAGTTGAGCA